TATTGGTGCAATGCTCTATCAATGGCCTGGAAGAAAAAGTCATCACTGAGGAAGCTTGCAGATTTACCACTCAATTTGAGTAGAGAACTGGTAACTAAATACAGAGTGCTCACATATTAAAATACATAGTTTGCTTACACTCAGTAAACATACACCTCTAGGAACAAAGCATGTAAGCCATACTTACAGAATGGAGGACTCTATTCTAGGAAGAGGTAACTCAAAGAGTTAAGCATTGGGATTGATCACTCTAAGAACACAAATTCATAGTGGAACCCTTTGGCTCAAAGGACTAATGCAATCCTTGGATGCATAAAATTGTGAGTGGAAGTTGAGAGGATATTTTGCCTTTGATTTTGATACTGGTGCAGCCACCACTGAAATACTGTGCCCTGTTCTGGTGCCCACAATTCAAGTGGGCTATAGGGAAAAAATTGACTGGTTTCAGAGAAGAGTCATGACAATGACTAAAGGATTAGAAAACATTCCTTATAGTAAGATTGAGCTCTTTGAGTCTAACCAAGATGAAGATGCGACTTGATCACCTCTATAAGTACATACAAGGAAAACACTCTTCAATCTAGAAAAAAAACTAAATGAATTCAGACCAGAAATAAAGCATGCATTTTAACAGGTGAGAATTTATCACAGGTCATGGTGGATTCTCAGTCACTGGTCATTTTTTCAATCCAGATTGTATGTTTTCCTAAAAGATATGCTATAGAGAAAGGGGGGGGGGGGGGCTCAATGATCTATTTTTTTAGAAGCTTCAGGTGGTAGCTGAGTTAGTCTGTACAGAAAAACAAACAAACAGGGTCTGGTAGCACTTTATAGACTAACAAGGTGAGATCACAATACACCTTCTTCCTTGAAATCTATGAATCTGTCTGGCCAGAAGGTAAAGCCTCATCCTACCAGAATCACACACAGATAACTGGTCGTGTCTAGGTGATTCTTAGGCTTTGTTATTGCAACTCACTCCTAGGAAAGAAGCCATAAACCCAGAAAAGGGTCTCAAATTGTACTATACACAGCAGCCCATTTGCTTGCCAAATGTCGGTGATCTCACACTTGTAGGCTACGTCTAGACTGGCCACAAATTCCGGAAAAGGGATTCAAGTAGGAATAAGAGATCCTCCGGAAAAGGGCTTTATTCCGGAGGATCGTGCCAGTCTAGGTGCTTTTTTTCCAGCTTTTCCCCACGCCGGAAAAAAAGCGGTGGACATGTTTATTTAAATCCGCGGGGAAAATTTAAATCCCCTGCGGATTTCCCTATGCTGACTTACCTGATTTGCATCCCTTTTCTGGAATTTGTGGCCAGTCTAGACGTATGCCACCCCAACAACAGAATCCAGTTAGCATCTCTATCCTGATATTTAAAGTTCTCCATATGGATTCATCTAGTTTTCTGAGCCATTGCCTCTCTCTCCAGGACAGTGATTTTCCATGACACCTCTTGGTTTCACTAGATCAAATGTGTGACCAATAAATAAGGTGTGTCGACACAGGAGACAAAAACCTTTACAAGAAATAGACAACTTATGGAACTCACTCCTGCAGCAGATAAGAATGACCACAGCTATCATCAGTATTCTCAGAACTAAATGCAAACCTCATTCCTTAGACTTGGGCTTTCCTTCACTAAAGTCTTTGCACTC